TCGGGTGCTTCCCGGCGGGGTAAATACTTGCCCGCCGATACATCAAATTCAGGCACGCATTTCATATATAAAGTCCACTGCATAATCAACTCAAAACAGAACTAAAAAAGATTTTAACTATTAACATGCAGCTTCTATCAACACTTTTGACATTCGTGCTGGTCTTCTGTGCAGTTTGCACGCAACTAATGCATGCGGAGCCCTTTGATTCGCGATCCGGTTTGGGTCAACCTAGGCGGCCACAAACATTGCCGCCAAATAGACCGCAGACTCCAAATTTTGGTCCATATCGCTGGTAATCAGTGGAAAGGATATGGATTCCCTACGTTTCCAAATAAAAATCAATAAAGTAATAGAACAAAACGAGTTGTATTTAGCTTAATCAAAGCCAGAGCATATGCCCCACTAGATAGTACATTAGCATATGCTCTTTGTTGAAATGCCAAAACATGATGGGCTCAATAGTTTGACTTAAAAACTAGTTTCAATTGAAAGCATACGTCTAAAAACACAAAGGATCAAAAACGTTTTTAGTTTGATGCGACTAACGATTGGTACTATATCTGCAGTTGCTGGTGAAAACTTAAAAAACTACACAACTTTCGCCTTAAAATTAGCAACGAACATTCAGCTTTTACTTGCCGGCTGTGAACTTGGAAAGTTTCTCCAGCAAGGCAATATAAGAGGTGTGCTCATGAGCTGTGGCCAGATCAGAGAGTTTCTCAGCAAACTCGTTGCTGATGCCCTTCTCCTCCAGAATATTCATCAATAGATCGTACAAATAGCCATCGAGCACATCTCCAGCAACGGCATAGATTTTGTCATTCCACTCGCCTTCGTAGATGGACATCTCTTCAATGGAAAACACATCATTGTACTCCCCCTCCTGCGCCTCACCATCCAGATAGGAGCAAGTAAACGAAAGAGTCGCGCTACCCCTTATGATATCTACTTCGAACTGGGGCTTGCTGCGCATTTCACCCAATTCCGGCTTGTCGGCATTGGGATTGATTTCAGGCTCTTCCTCGCTGTCAACTGTGTGGTTCACATTGAAGCTAACGACAACCTTCTCCTTGTCCGTCTGCTTGGTCAGCTCCACATCGGCGCCAGTCAGTTTTACGCTAAAGCCTTCCAATGTACTGGGAACAGTTTTGCCCTTTTGCACCTTACGCTCCGCAACGATCTCCTCGGTGAGAAACTCGACAAGTTCACGTTCAGCTATTGACAAAAAACAAACCATTAAATTAATTTCAAAATATTACCCTGGATGTTGTCAGCAATCCGTCTTTGAGGTTATGTAACCATGCAAGAACATTCGCCAATCTTTAAAGCTTGCGAGAGATGTTATTCTCAATGGGAGACTCACCTTTGGTGTGCACATTGCAGCCACAAGTGCAGTTTATGCTGGGCTTGTGCACATTCAACACGGTAACATGGTCACCACTGGCGCCTGTCGCCGCCGGCTTTTTGGTCATGTGCCAAAGACTACGGGCGAAATCACGTTTGCCTAATGCGCCATTTGCTGTACTGGCCAAGTTGGCAAATCGCATAGTTGCTGTCTTTAGGCTGTTCATCTTGTTATATAATATATCAACTTATTATGACAATAATTGGAAAAATGTGCTGCCGCTTCTATGTTGCAACTTGCAATGCTCTTACATATGCGGATGTCGATATATTTTATATCGATAAACATCGCGAGTTCCGCTATTTTGAAAAGTGGCAACGCCTTGCCAATTGGTCAGTTAGAGCAAATGAATAAGGAAATCGTCAGGGAAAAGCTTCTTCTACAAGTTGAGGAAGATGGCGCAGATGCCGCGGATCAGCATCCTTGCTGCCCGCACGGTCCCACAGTGCTATTCTATCGGCAAAGTGAAACTCCAAGCGATGGCTTCTATGCCTGCTCCGCTCATCGGAATCCCAAACTGTGTGATTTTCGCATGGATAAGATTCAATGGGAGGGCAACAGGCTTAAGCGCTTGCACAATGTTCGCGATTATCCCGAGTCAACGATGGACAGCGATCCCGATCCAACGAATCACCTAAAAGCACTTTCACAAGATGAAGTGCATGCCCAGTACTTTTTTGATCAGAAAGCCCTGGAATTCTTTGCGGATCAATGTCGCTTGCTTAAAATCAAGTAAGTAAGCTGCAGCAATTAAAGAAGGACTCCATGTAAATGCAACAACGTCTCTTTTATGTAGTCAAGTAGTTTGCATGGGCGCACCTCGGCTTCATTTCCACCTGCGACGTAACCACAAAATCCAATCGTTTTTGCTAGATTTCGACGAGCGATTTGGTGCATATCTCAGCCCGCAGGAATTCTGCCTGTACAACATGTGCAACAATCACTTCTTCTACAATCGAGAACCCTTTGAGCTGTTCCTCAAATGCAATAAGTAAGAACGCTTTCCATATCTAGGAAATTGATGCTACACACCTGCATTTCAGCAATGATCGCGTTTTAATTGTAACGGATCCCCCATTTGGTTGTAGAACGGAACTTATTGCTCATACGCTGCGCTCCCTCGTACGTCTGCACAATCGCATCAACTGCCTGCCCGCCACACCACTGTCCATATTTTGGGTATATCCATACTATATGACAAATTACATAAAGCAGGATATGCCGGAGCTCCAAATGTGTGACTATAAGCTGAACTACACCAACCACAGTCGTTATACGAATGTGGGCATCGCCCGACGCTCCTATGGCTCGCCAGTTCGCGTCTTTACCAACGTGCCGCTTGAGCTGCTGCAGCTGCAACCTGCAGAAGGCTACAAGTATTGTGATAAATGTCAACGCTACACAGGTATAGAGAACGTGCATTGCGATCGGTGCGGCAACTGTTGCTCACAGAACGGCCAAACCTATAGGCACTGTCAGTTTTGTGATATGTGTGTGAAACCCAATTATGTGCACTGCACGAACTGCCGCCGCTGCAGCCAGCGTGAGGGCCACGTCTGTGCGTTGTATCAGTCCATGCAGCGTTGCTGGCTTTGTGGCCAACGTGGTCACATTGAAACTAATTGTGGACTGTGGCTCCAACTGAAACGCAGAGATCGCCAGAAGAAGAAGGATCGGAAGGACCAGCAATACGGCTGCATTATTTGCGGCCACCGAGGTCACAGCGAACGCAAGTGTACACTTCGCTGTCGATACTTTAAGGAATCGCAATTCATGGGACAAGCTCTGATAGTAGCTCGTAATAAATCAAATCAAAAGATAAGAAAGTTATAGAGAAAATACATAGAAAATTGTTATTTTTACTCGTTTAATACCAAATTCATTTGTTCTTAACACTTTTTAAACTATTGAACTGCGTCTGTGAAGCGCGAAAGTAATGCACATGAACATGGCCACCATAAATTGTGGAATGGATTATCTGCCACAAACTTCAAACAAAAGAACTTTGCAGCAAAGTAAATAGAAAATTTTGACAAATTATGTATACAATTTAGTTTATCATTTAACGACGGGTAACTTAAGCTTAGACAATAATTAATTTCAAGTGGAAAACACAATGCCTCAACCAACGGAATGCAGATACCACAGTGCTAGCTGCGACGGTTCAATTGTTTTTGTTGTTGTTATTTTGGCAACTGTCTGTGAGAAATCTGATGACGTCGACAATTGTGTCGCGGTGCGTCCGTTGAGGTGAAAGTATTTATTTGCTACGATGAACTGTCTAAGAACGGTTGTACTTTCCCCAAATGTGCAGCATGAAGACAGAGGCGATGAACAGCAACGACATGACCAGAACTGGAACTGGACCACTATCAAACAAAAGAGCGAAAAAATAGTTTAATTTAGCGAACACAACTAATTCAGTTAAACGGCTCGCTTACACTTTAATGCCGGGAGAATCGTCTGTGTAGAAACGCCACATGCCACCAGTGCCTGCTCCGCCTGGAGCACGACTCCTGGCCGCCGTTGTTGTTGTCGTCTTTCGTTGTTTCAGAGTGCTGCCGCCACCAGCGCCAGCGCTACGTGGCGCCGACAGTTTGCTGGGCGAGCGTGATCCGCTGCCAACGGATGTCGAACTTGCGGGAGCAGGCTATAACAATAGACGGCACTTGGTTCGCCTTTTTATTTTTCAAAAAATATGATTTTTACTTACCATTTTAATGTATGTGTTTAATTTTAATTAAAGGCAAAATGTGCACTAAGTTCGTGAATTCTGCGTGCTGACCTGGAAAGTGTTGAAAGCGTTGGAATCAGTTTGACAACTCTTCGTGTCGGTTTCGTGTTCCACGTCACCTGCCATTCGCCCGTAAACGTAACTTTGACAGCAACTATTCGATAAGGTTTAATAATTTCGATTACAGTTCGCAGCGCGTCAAGCTGTTGTGTGTGTGTGCGTGTGTGCATACGAGCTGTACACAGATTAAATTGCTAAAGAATATACTTTGAGTATGCTCAAATAGGCGCGACGCAGACTGACAGTGATGACATTTGTAGTAGCTCATTGTCAAAACAACTTTATTTGTTAACACCTAAAAAAATTATACAACAAACAAAAAACAGTTAACAAAGGAAAATAAATGCATATGCTAAAGAAGAGATTGTGTAGATGCTTTACATTTGCATCCCCTGAGACACTAGGATAAAAGTAGTGCAACTGCTAAGTCGAAAAGTATGATTTGTTATTCAGAACCTAAATAACAAAGTATATAATGGTCTTAACAAATGTTGATTTCATAAAATGGAAAATGATTTCATTGAATGGACACTTCAGCAGTCATTCGGTTAAGTTGAGAATTGAAAATTAATACTTCAGTTACGCAAAGTTTTGGAGAAATTACCGGGTATTTTTTTGTAATATCACACAGTTTTGTTGAGAAATGGAGTGGATATTATTCATAATGTATTGTATGTTAAATGTCCAGTACGAATGAATATTGCGCGATTTTTAATTCTATTGATTCTTATCGATTTTTAGCTGTATGCGAACTATCGAATTGTTCTATCATTATCGATACCAAATGCTGCATATTCATTAAATTTTTCATGTGCGGTCCTCAAGCACTTTTTGCAATTGATATTGTATTCAATATTTAATTTAATATTGCGTGATGTGTTTATAAATTACAAACTCGCTTTCCATGAACAGCGTCCGATTTTGCTGCACCGTTGCTATGGTGCGCAAATTCATGCTACAAGCCGACAGTGACAAACATATACTTGAAGTGTAAATGCAAACGCAATAGGGCAAAAAAAAAAAGAACAGAAAAGATATATACAGACAAAACAATTTAATAATATGGAGGATATAGAAATAGAATATCTTGATGAGTACAAAGATTTGGTTCTGCCAGGTGAGTGTTCTATTTGCAATGTGCGCTTGCTGCCGATTTTTCAATTATCAATCAATTTTACGCAAGGCATCAAAACAAGCAGCGAAGGACGCGCGTCGAATCAAGCGTTGATGCGTTTGCCGCAACGCCGACGTATTTCGTCGGACTCGAGTGGTTCCTCGTCAATAGATCCGGATATTTTTCAGAAACTATTTGACGGCAAGTTTCTGGACGACGAGCTGCTCACTGAAAGTAAGTATACTTGCAAATACAGAAAAAATCTTCTTCATGCTTATTTCGTGCGCGTGTGTGTGTATGTATGTAATCAGGTGGCACAAATGCAAAGGGAAGATTTCGGCGTCGATTAAGTTCCTCATCGAGCGACTCCAACGATGCTCTGGATGCATTGTATAATCGACCAAGCAGCCAATTCAGAAATCATAGGCGCGATCGCTTAGAATCTTACGATTCCATAGATGATTTGGGTATGTAATGCGTTATAAGTAGTACACACAAGAGTTCATAACACCAACGGATTCGTTTATTTTTTGCTGAAGGTGATGCGCTAATGGGCCAAACACACAAATCGCAGTCAAAGTCGGCTGACTTTGCGGCAGCAAGGAAGTCACTTAGTGAAGGCTTGCATAGAAGCACTGGCAGCGGCATTGGCAAGTCGAAGAGTGCTGACTATAAGCTACAGGCAAACAAATCCAATTTGTCTGATCATTTAAAGCCACGGAGCAAGGCTGACATCTTTAAGACCGGCAATAGGCCCAACGGCAGCAGCAGCAGCAGTACATCCTCCAACACTCATATGCTGCCCAACAAGAAGAAAGCTATAACCATTATAAAAGCTAAGAAACCGAACTTGAAGCCGCCTAAGCACGAGCCAAAAGAGGATCCACTGCGTAAGTAAACCCCTTCAAACTATCTATATATTAGCGCTATGCTTTTTAAAAGAAATTTTGATTGATTCTGTATATTAACTCTTTTTCCTTAGAAAGAGAAAAATATAACGATCAAATTTAAACCGTGCTGAAGAAAACTATTCCGTCTGTCCGTTTTTATGCAAAACATTTTCTTGAGGAAACTGAAAAATTCCATCTTTTTGCTGTATTCTAGAATAGGACTTTTAGTTAGAGATGCATGCATTACTTTAGTATTGATATTTTTTAAACGATCTAATCATTAGCCAATTATATAAAGAACAAACTTTTGGCTGTATGACACGCTTGTTTTACCTCTATTATTTTTTGACACGAAAACGCATTGATCGTGATTGTTTGTATCATGAAATAATATTTCGATACTCGGTTAGCTCAGCCTTTAATTAAATATATGTTTTTTGCGGCTTGCAGATTTGCAGGACTTCTCAGATGACTCGGACAGCGATTCGTCTTATGAATATGAATCGGATTTTTACGGCTATGGCGATTCAGATGACGATGGCGAGGGATCTAAGCAGGTTATTGATATATCGACGGATAGCAGCACGGCTACATCATTGGCGGGTAAGTCAGCGTTAAACAACTAGTTGATACTGCCAACCCTCTGATTATATTTATAATGTGCGTAAAACAAACCGTGTAGACACTGTGACACCTGTTGTTTCCGAAGACGAGAGCCTGCAGCAGCAGCAGCAGCACATGCCATACGGCGATAATGAGCGACTGCAATTGTATTTAAATAATCTAAGTAGTGCCGAATCGCCACCATCTAAACATAAATACACAACTAATGCTAAGAAATCGCGTTCCCATGAAAAACAGTCTACGACTACAGCGCAAACAGATAACGATCAGGTTAATGATTCCCTTAATCAAGCGGAGGCAAAGGGTAAGTTTTTCCTAATTCCTTTTCATTTTAGCGTATTTCACATTTATCACTTATTTCGATTTAATCTTTGCAGCTGAGGAGCAGTTTGACGGCCCCTCCAGCAGCACAGGTCGACGGAAAAGCTGCAACGAGTCAGAAAAAACGTCTCGCGCCGATTACGTTGATGTTAATTTAACGTACGAAACCTTAGAGCGCTTAAGCCTCAGTCTCGCCGAACAAATCATTAACATTGATGTAGAGCGCTCCAAGGAGTTCGAAAAACGTTCCGCTTCCAAGCCGCGCAGCACATCTAACTCTAAACTAGTGGGCCCAACAGTTGGCTCTTCTTTCTCTAAAAGTCACGTTCGCAAGCTCACATACTCTAGCGAGAATTTAGATAAGCTTGCACCGAAGAAAACCGAGCTGCGTCGGGCTAAAAGCGACAGCGCTTTTCCGAAGCGTGGGCATCGTCAGCAGCCAAAGACCAGGGCCGCCACCACAGAGGAGCAGAACAAATGCGAGCCGCTGTCGCTGCCAACGTTAAGCAATGCTGAAACAAAAGAGCAAGAACCGAAAAATGAGAGTAAAATAGAAAAAGAAGCTCCCACGAAGCCAGAAAAAATAAAGCGCAAGCGTGGGAGACCGAGGAAGAAACGAAATATGGTGAAGACAGAAGTGAATGATGCTGTCTCGGAGAATCTGACTGAGCAGGCTAGTGTAGTTCCGTCAGAAAATGAAAATAAAACTGTCAAGGTGGACGAAGACATAAACTTGAATTTAACAACCGGCGAATCGGCGTATAAAACTCCTGAAAAGTCAAAAACGGCACCACCGCCAGAAGAATTAGGCTCTCCATGCGCTGCGTCGAAAAAACTGGCGGATGCAGAATTAAAATTTTCGAATAAAAATCAACAAGAAGAACAAGACTTTATAACAGCTCCAACCGATGAAGCAGAAACAAATAAGGAATTGAGAACTCAATTAGACCTCGGGGAAACAGAAGACAATTCAACTTCAGCGTCGTTTAAGCTTCAAGAGACATCAAACGATTCGTTCAAAAGCGCGTGCGGAGAATTCTTGCCTCACAGCCCTGCTGAAAAAGTAGAATTAACACGGGCAATTGAAGCAAAGGACAACATTTCCAGAAAACTAACCGTTGGGGAGAGACTGATGGATACGGAACTAGAAATTGATAAGAGCACACGTCTTGTCAATGTTGGAAAGTGCCTTGGGGAAAACAGTGTTAGTCAGAGCAAGGCGCAAGGAAGTGCTGGGCAATGCATAGGAGAAGACGGTGTCATTCAAGAACGTGCTTTTAAAAATGAAAGTGAAATTGTAAAAATGGGTGCAAATGATTCTGAAAAGGAAGATACCGAAGATACGGAAATTAATATGCGGGATACAGCTGACCAAGAGGGAACGGAGCAGCTAGCCCTGGACGAAATGTCACCTCAAGGAACACTCGATATTGAGGTGTCTAGAGATAGAGTGCCTGATATTGAAACATCCAATGGGAATGTGGATGAAAAAGTAACAGGGGAAGAACCTGTAAAAATAGATAAACCATCTGAACCGACATTGCCTATCAAATCGTTGGAGAAGAATACAGATAATTTATCTGAAAAGGACAAAGGTATTACTGAAAAATCTAAAGAAAGTAAAGAAAGTTTAAAAGCTGAGCTAGACATGCCTGAAGAAGTAACTACTAAAGATGATTTTCAACAAGCTGACGAGGAAACGGTTGATAATCCAGGTGATAAACCTCTATTGACAAATCCCATTACAAATATCCAAGCTGAAAATAACCATTCAAAAGCGAATAAGTCGGATAACCCGGAAAGCACAATGAAAACGCGACGCTCTGTATTGGCCAAGGCTAGTCCTTGTCCAGAGAATATGTCTCCCGTAAAATCGACAGGTCGCGAGAGTCGTAGCACAAAGCGATTGCTTAGAGGCGACACTAACTCGGTTGTAACCACCAGAACACAGTGGCGCAATAGCCCAAGGCTGTTAGAAAAGTCACCAACTGGAAGCGATGCGTCTGCAATATCGAAAGTAATCTGTAAAGATCAAAAAGAGAAATCTATCGGCGACCTGTTAGCCACAAAAACACCCCAAAAATCAAATGTTGAGAATAGTATAGAAAGAAAAACTCGGAAGTCCAAACACGAGATACCAAAACAAGAGGAATCCTTAAACGACAGGCCACAACGCAGCTCAAAACCGTCAACGTCTGAAGCTACTGAAAACAAGGAATCGGAAGCAATTGATAAAAATCACAAGAAGCCGAAACAATCGCCGGCAAGAGCTCCTAAACTCAATGATACTAATAATACATCAAAAGAAAGAAAATCTCGCAGGTTAAAGCATAGGTCAAAGATCGAAGAATCGCCATCAAATCAGATGGAAACTGAAATATCACAATCGGAATCTTTACATAATCCATCGGCTTTGATATCAGAATCCATTGATGAAGTCAATAATGAGGATTCCTCAACGAAGGCTGTGATTCAAAGTGTATCATCAGCATCTGAGAGTGAGGTTAATAACACAAAGGGAACTTATACTGAAATGAGTTCGACAGTGGACCCAGTTATTCTTTCATCTGCAGATGCTCAATTGGCAACAGCCGTTGAAGCTGAAGCTGTTTCAGAGCACGAACTCCCCACAACAACGGAATTCAATGATAAGCTAAAGACTCCTTCTAACGAGGACCAACCAATTCCAGAAAATCCTCTAGTTGTGGTTAATAAAGACGAAGCAACCTCTGAAGGACAAAAGGATACAGAAGAAGCACGCGCTTCCGACATTGTAAACAGCTTTGAGGAGTCAGCGAAGGTGAAACTTCGTGGAGTATTAGCTCGAGAAGTGAGAGATCTTATACAGGAGGCAAAGGAATGGGAAGGCGAGTCAATTGAAAGTCGTGGCCGATCCACTCGTTCAAGAGTGGAAACTCCAATTCCATTAAAAGGGAGACGCGTTAGATCAAGGGAACCAAAGTCCGCAGAGCGCCCAGCTAAAGATCAAAATAAAACCGCAGCAGAAACTGAACTAGCCCCAAGCCACAGTACAGCCAAGGAAGCGATCAAGAAAACCAAATTCGAAACGGCTGAAATCGTTAATGAACCAGCAACGCCACTTAAAGCAGACGCAAATGTTCAGTCGGAAGTTGAAAAAACCAGCAGTGATATTCAGGAATCAAATGCTGATGAACACATAGAGAAACCAGCTCCCAGATTTGCAAAGCAGAGGCGCAGGGCAGCCAAAAATATGAAAAATCAAACAGACACTGTAGAAACCGAACCAGTGCCCACTAATTCAGTTACGCCAAAGATTGCACCGACCAATAATTCCAGTACATCATTTCCAAGCACACCCAGCACATGCTCTTCAGGCAGTTCACGCCGTAAGCTGCGCGTTTTACTTAGGAAGGTAGTGCCACGCTCTAAAATTAATTTTAGCCAGAAACTTGAAAACGTACAGGAAGGCGATGAAATTCTTAACTCGTCTTCAGATCAGCAGCTTGAAGACATCGCCTTGAAACGAGTTTCTGTGGAAAATCCACTCGTCAATCGAGGAGATTCGGCTGTTAATGCAGATTCAGCTGATCAAGTTGTGGATAACATTGCTGACCCATGCACAGCGCAAGCTGAAACCGATAAGACAGACGTTGAGGCTGAAGGTTTAACTCAAAGTGAGCCGGATGAGAATTTAACGGATCTACCTACCGGTCAAGGTGAAGTTAACCTCGAAGGTGACTCATTTGAACCTGAAATAGACCCAATCCAGAAAATCGAAAAAGCTGCAGACAATACTTCGATTGGGAGGGAAGTGCCTCTTAGTGATAAGCAGCTAATTTCAACGGAGAATGCTGACAAGGAGTTGCGTCCAGAGAAGGAGCCTACTGACCAAGATCAACAGCAAACTGAGACAGAGGCAGCGAATGAAGAGCAGCAACAGGAGGAAAATTCTGTTGACGAGGATCAACCGCAAAATGAAGTGGAAATTGCTAACGAACAGCAGCATACGGAGAGCGAAGCTGCTGAAAAGAATGAGCAGCAAAATAATATGGAAAATTCATACGAAAATCCGAAACCGGAGAAGGAAGCTCTTGACGACGCTCAACAGCATTCAGAGGAGCAGCCAAAAGGAGATAATAATGATAATTCATGTCCGACAAAAACAACAGGTGTCACGGGAAATGTTGACGACGACGAAGAGAGGTGCACCGATTCCGTGAGCTCTAATCGAAAGCTCAAAAATCGCGAAATGGATGCCTCCCAGCCAGACGGTTAATAGCTATTACTAGAATATTACATATAAACATATCTTTTTACCGTTGCAGCTCGTTTTCTAATATTGAACCTTTTCTCTCGTAATCCGTTTTTCTCTTTTAGCAGCCGCCAAACGCAAGAAAATGCTGCAGGCAAAGGAATCAAACGGAAGTAAGGGAGCTAGTAGCATCACAGCTATGGCACCGCCAGCGCCGCCTAAAAGGGAGTTGTCTACTGGTAAAGCAGGTAAGGATCCGAGAGCTGCAAAAGTGTTTCCCCTGGTGTAAAGTAAATGAATCTTTTTAGTGCTGCGACGTCTGGGAAAGCCTTTGCAGGCTGATGTGCAGCCTACACAGAAGCGTCGGAAGCTCGCAAGCTCAACTGTAGAGCCTCAGGCCAAGGCTAGTGACAAGGAGCCATCTTCGATACGCAAAGCTATGGAGGAGCTAAGAGGCAAGGCTAGGAAACAAATGTTAACTGCAGCAGCTGACAAAGCGAGCACAGCGCATAAAAATGCCAAAAAGTCCTTGCCGCAAGAAGCCAAGCAAGGTTTGGACTTGGGTCAAACGGCAACAAAGCTCAGCAGGAAGCCAGAAGCAAACAAGACGCCGCCATTGAAATCGAGTTTGTCATCGTTGCTAAGCGGCGATGACTCAATGACGATAGACAACTCGGTAATAATTACCAAAACTGCAATAACAAATACAACGGAACCATTCAAGAAGATGGAAACACCATCAACTCCTATCAGTGGTATAAACATCTCCGTCTCAGTGGTGCCTGACGCCAATAAGCCGGTGAGTTCACCGCCCAAAAAGACGTTAACTCAAGCCGAAACTGTAAGGAAGATGATTTTAATGAACACACCCTCAAAGACGGCTGATGAGACGTTGGTAGCGAAAGAACCTGCAGCTCCAAGTGTTCCCGAAAAGACCATGGCACCTACAGACTCTGGCAAAAAGCTAAAAACCCGTAAATCGGAGGCTGCCGTAAGCACAACAGACAAGCGAGTCTCTCTACCTGCCAAAATATCCTTGCCCCGAATAGCAGGGAAAACAATAGCTCCTATTGAAGCTGTCAAGAAACCCCTATCAAAAGTGGAAACTGGTGAAAAATTGGAAACTAAACAGGCAGAACTGACAGCCGCAGGACTCTCAGCAGAAGTACTCCTTAACCACTTAACCACCTTCACCAGAAAATCCTTTCCACAGGCGCAAGCGAAAAAGTTGGAAGCAACTGCAGCACCTGCAGTCAGCACTAGCTTTGATGATAAGGAAATGGGGGTGTCTGGTGCAGCTACAGAAAAACAGTCTGAAGCGAAGCCCATTAACAAAATGGAATTGCGAAAAGTCGCTAACAAATCGTTTGGAAAATCCAAGTCAAAGGAGTCGTTGGCAACAGCAGTGGAACAACAACCTACTCCTATAGCAACGAATCCCAGCTCGGACTCCCGCGACTCGTCCAATGAGCGTACAAAGCGCTCTTCCCGCATGACAAAATTATCGCTGACGAATTCAAAGACTTCGACACCGGTAACACGCGCCTGCAGTCAAATACGTTCCACGACTGCCACGCCCACGATTACGCCTACACAACAACGCAATGCCTCCAACGAGCGACAGCAGCTGACATTGCCGCAACTAGTCGGGCAGCTGCCGCCAAAGCCGCAACGTCAATCCCGCAAGAGTCTCAAACTGGCCGCTGCTGAGCCTCAGGCGCCGCAGCCTGAGCCTCAGATCCCCGATGTGGTGCCAGTTCCGCAGTCGCGTAAGCGCAAGCTCCCAGCTAAGCCCGTTACGGAGTTAGCAAATGTTAAGCGTTCGAAGGAGCAGCCAGTCATACCGGACACATCAATTGCGTTCCCAGTGCGAATTACTGCTGCTTCCACTGCCACTGACATTGGCAGTGAAAAAGCGGTCCCTGTACTAGAACCGATTGCTAAAGCACCAGCACCTCCAATAACACCGGAAAAGCCAGTTCAAAAACCCAAGGAGCTGCAATTGGCTCCGCAGCCATTACCGCAGAAAGTGCGCAAGTTGCGCGTGCGTCTGAATCGAAACGTGATTAAAAACTGGGTTTTGGGTCTGCAACAAATAGAGGCACCACCAGAACCAGAGCAAGCACAGCCAGTGCAGCCAGTGGAGCCGCCAACAGCTATAGCTCCTCTACCCGAAACTGCCGCAATTCCACCGGCAAAGGAAGCAGAGCCAGTCATAACTAGAGCCCAGCCGGTTGCCGAAACGCAACTGCCCAAGGCTCCGTTTGTTAGGTCCATGCCCTTGCCAGTGCCGCTACCAGTTCTGGAAGTAAAAGCGGAGCAGGTAGAAATGGAAGAGCAACAACAGATCTTGCCCCCAGTGGGAACGGTGCATATGGAGGTTGATGTACCCGTTCCAACTCTATCACAAGTTGCAGCGAACATTTCCTGCTCCGTCAACACCTGCGCGGCTCCAACGCTTATTTCGATGGCGCCGACAACGCATACGGATATTAATGTGCCCACCACCACAAACAGCACCAGGAGCAACGCCATCAGCAGCACCACCATTAGCAGCACGACCATCAGCAGCAACGCCACCAGCAGCACAATTACTTCAGCGAACAGCTCAAGCGATCAGCACACGTTTGGTACAACGAAAATGTTTTCGTTTTTGTATCCGTCACGCTATCAGCGCTCCTACGGCCACGTGGGTCTTGACTTTTGCTGTCCAAACCTGGACGGGCCGATGCAGGCCATTGATCCGACACGGCTGCATTCGAAAGTGGAGGTGCCGGTGCTGGAGCTGCCACAGTACATGGTCATCTCGACAAAGATCATCTCGAAGCAGGACAAGAATATACCGCAAAAGGTGCGTGCCAAACTCGAGCAGCTGGCGGCCAAGGATGCGTTACCCTGTGCCATTCAAACAACGGCGTCGTCGACGACAGCTGCCATAGCAACGTCCACTGCGCCCGCAGCTACGCACGTGCCCAGTGCGCCGCCAAGTTCGAGCAACATTGAACCGCTGGCCAAGCAGCAGCCGCCACGTAACACGAGCTTGACCAAAAAAGTGCATCCGCCAAATGCTGCTGCAGCTGCACCGGGCACCGGGCACACAGTGGCAAGCTCACAATCTGTGGCCAGCCTGGTTCCGGAACTGCTGCAGCTACCGCCCATTTGCCCCACCGACAAGCTGCGGGTGGAGCTACAGACACGCGTTCAACTCTTCGATGTAGTGCTGCAGAGTCTGGCCAGGCGAGCTGTTTCAATGAGCGTGTCGGAGCGGCAGCAGGTCATAGAGAGTATTGTTAGGACAAGCACACTGCTACCGATTGATGTGGACGTGGGCACCAAGCTTCTGGAAAACTATGTTTATTATATAAATGCCGTCACCAATACCATTTCCGCGCCCTTACCACAAATCCGGGCCATTGTCAAGGCTACTACATCAACGCCCAACTCCACACCAGCCAGCACCAGTAACTCGGTGCTGGGCAAGGCACTGAATACAACTCATGCTTCACCAGCGGTAGGGGTAAACACTCCACCACTGGCAGCCGGTAGTCTGCGGCAGGCGGTATCAGCGCCAACTTACAAGCCCCCCGCCACCAGTCGACCCATTTACGATAAGGACAAGAACATCATTGGTTATCAGTACAAAACGCCTAAGTTAACCTTAGGCTCAACGCCAGTGCGTGCTCCAGCTGCGAGCAGCACGCCACGTGGATCAACCGCCAGGGGCTCTTTGCCAGCAGCATCGGGAATAGGAACACCAGCTGCAACCGTCACCCAACAGCAACGTTCGCGGATCCTCATGATGCCGACTGGAGCCAACAGCAAGGTAAGTGTGCTGGGAATTCCAGTTTATACCCTTGCAGGGGGCATTATTATTTTATCACACAAAGATGGTGACATCGCTGACCGCATAATGTATATACACTTGATAAGCCCATCTGTCTGCTTCTGTGCAAGCAAGTCTCAAAGTTGTAAAGACATTGACCCCCTTAAAAGAAAACTATTCTTTCTTTATATACCCTGTAATAGTTTTTTGCAAATTTATATAATGGTCAGAAGGCAGCATCCCGAGCCCATGAAGTTTTTTTTTTCTTGATCAGGACGGCAAGCTGAGTCGATCTATTCGTGTCCGTCTGTGTGAACGCTGCCTGTAGAATAAGAGTATCTGTTGTTTTGTTCTCTGATTTCCATAATTGGGATTTTAAAATATGGTTTTTTAGGCATAACTAAAAGTATGAGCTAGATATATCAAACTAGGTAGGCGGGTTCTTATGATATATACATATCAGTAATATTTTAGTATATGCACAGTTGGACGCTTAAATGTGAGTTCAAATCCGACAACAGCAGGCTATTAGGTATGGCAAACGCGTTCGTTTGAAATGAACGCAGTTATCGGCCAATCGATTTTTCAATGTATATATTCGATTATTCGGTACTGTTATGTCGCTTTTAGCGAACTTTTCGAGCTGTTAATTCACTGCCAAGCGACAAATGAACTCTTAAAACTTTGCGGGTAATGAAAAACTGATTTGCTTTTGCAGAGAAAAAAGTTGTCTACTCTATTTCTTGTTGTGAGAAAAACAAGATGGGGTTGCGAGGGGTGCATAATTTGCAAATACAATTTAAGGAACCTTGTGAAATATTAGAAAACCGAATGATGGGAAATTGCAAATGTCAGTTCAGTGCGAGATTCAGGGAATCTCGGTCACTGCCGACTAGAGCAAAAGATAAACTTCACAATTCTAACAGATTATTTGTTCATTGCAGCTTGTCGGAGCCAGCTCGGCGGCAACACCAGTTGAAGCTGCGAGTGTCGCGAAGAGAGTCGGGTCTGGCACCATTATTCCGTTTAACGCATCCCCAGCGCAGAAGACCTATGCACGTTCCACGAAGACCTCGTCGCACGTGGCGCCCACAAATTTGTCGACAGACATAGCGACGCCCGTCGGCGTAGTGAACGGGGTGCCTGTACTGGGAACAAAAGCGACATCTTCGTCTGCGTCGGCAGCACCCGCAATTGCAAGCAAAGAGGGCGGATCTAATCGTAATGTGTTCATCGTCAACCAGGTCCTCTCGCAGCCGGAGGAATGCATATTGCCAGATACGATTCGGGCGACGGATGCAGCTGCCGAGATAAAGGGCGAGGTGGAGGATGCGGAAATATTAACTTAAGCTAAAAATATTAAGGAAAAACATAATTATAAACAAAACATAAAACTATGAAAAGTATTTTAAGTTACTTTACCAAAAGCACGAAACCCATATTTCACACACAGAAAACATATGTAAAACATTTTTTGTGGGCTTCGTGAAAGATTGTTGAATTTCAGCTCTCCCATTTACCATAATTTTTTTAAAATAATAATATAACAATAACTTAGTAACTGGAAGAAGCATGAATGAATTTGGTAGATTTTTATTCAAATACATTTCTAAAAAGAAAACCAAATTGAAAGCTGCGTATTTTTCTCTTCATGTTGCGCATAAAGATTCATATACATTGGAGTGGAAAAACGGCAGCCAAATAAATGCGATTATAAGCTCATAGTTGCTCTTGCACAATGATTAAGAAATACTAGGGCTGTAGAAAATAAAAATAAAATTAAAATACTATTATAAGAAAAGTTGACGTCGCAGCGAGGCTGTTAATAAAAGATAGCTCTAATACATAAGATAAATTTAGCTGCCTTTCAACAGTACTAACAGAATTTCATTCAAAATCATTCGACCGAATGACGTCACACTTATATTTTACGTTCTCAGAGAGCGCCGCATAACGGAGCTGCGCACTGCGCAACCTCGTATGTGTAGCGGATCATGATTTCGACATTCTTATAAGCAGAGAACATTCGAACACAACAACAGTTTTCGTTTGCCGGCTGTTTGCAACGCATTCCAAATAAGAGGTCTCCGCGTAGCTTAGCTCTTTGCGCTCGTCGTTCGATTGTTATGTTGTCGTGGGCGCGCAACGGACCAATAATAATTAAATAATAATAAATAAGGAATATCGCGATTAGGAGAGAGTGAGTGAGCCGTTTAAGGAGTGTGTGCGTTCCGGGCAACGATTCAACAATAATTGATGTGCGATGGCGCTCGAAATAACAAACTCAATATTATCGCTGCAGCCAGCACTTGAGGCTGAAACGCTGGCGCCGCAGTCATTCCACTGGCAGCTCGAGGATTACGCATACTTTCACAAGTGCGGAGAGATAACCAGCTCGCCGGACGTACAATGCTTTGGCTTCAATTGTGCCTTCTGCCCGGCGATTTGCCTGCAGCTATCGGTTTTCATCGATCACATACGCGGCCAGCACATGCAGGACATGCGCCGGCGCTACGAGGGCGCCGATGACAAAATCGAACAAACAACGCAAACGGACTTAAACCTAATGATAAGGGACTTGCAGCGGGACCAAATGGACACAACAGCAACAGCAACAGGAACAACTCCAGCACTGACAGCTGCAATGGCCACAACAAATACGCGCCCGGACAAACGCACAAAGAAACCGAACTGGAATGAGGCGCAGGGCCCGGGCCTCATGGACATGGGCTTGGACTTGGGCCTAGACCTGGCTAGCATGGTGCAGGCCCAGGCATTGCCAAAGACAAGCAACAACAATGCGACGCTAGTGCAGCTTGGCAACACGAACCCAACAACAACAACAACGACGTCGACTCCAGTCGACCTGGACTTCGTTTATGTTATGGAAAATCCATTGCCACCCTCGCCCCCACCGTCGGCTGACATTTCGAGTGACGGGAACAGTCCGTCGCGACTGCACTCGCTAGATCCGTTCGAAATGTTGCACGAGGCGGTCTCTTCTTCAGTCGAGCACACGGCCACGGCCACACCCACGCTGTTGTTCGAGGCGGTCTCCAGAGGCGGCGGCAATGTTGTCGCACCGCCCCGTTATGAGACGCGGCGCGTGGTAAGTTAATCGCCGATTCTTGGCCCTGCTTTGCACCCATTTAGCGCCATTTATTCGCCGTTGTCAACGTTGTTTTTCCTTTTTTCTATGCGAAAAGGGGTTTCCGCTGTTTTGGCCTTTTTTTTTTTAATAGGCCCGACAGCGGCCGCACGACCTTCAAAATAACGGCGCATTAGCGGCAATGGCAGCAGCAGCAGCCGCAAAATACTAAAAACTGTGTCGCATTTCTTGGATACCCTGTATCCATGCGGCAAATGGGGTATGCTCGGCTTGTACTCAGCTGATGAGCTGTTCCACTCTTGATTTTATATAAAAAAGTTAATCATCTGAAAAGCTCTTAAAGTGAACTCCACACCCCTCCCCCCCCCTCCCCCAAACAGCAGACAAAATAACTATATATTAATAGCTTACTTTATATTTAAGTATACAAAAATGGCAACTTTTAGTTCTAAGTTATTTGGCATTAAAGTATATAGGGTATATCATAGTCGAGATTGGGCCTTGTTGAGTTCATTGCGTATTTTTTATGTCCCCGTTTACCCGTTTATCCCGATATTCAACTTGAGGGTTGCTATGGCCAGGTGGAGACAGGGGGAGGGGGGGACGAGGCCGGCAGACAGTTCATCAGCTTCACGAGAGTATCGCTATTTTTACTTGCAGGCTGCGCGGCGCAGTTTTTTTTTTTTTGGATTTTCACTTGTTTTGGCTTCGACAAATTTTTTGTGGAAATGGAATATATATTTTTGACGCCAAGAGCAACAAAAACAAAACTTTTTTTTTTTCAAAGCGAACACATAATAATTTATGTGCTAACAAAATAAATACAACAGAAGCGTGGAAAAAGCCTTCGATTTGGAAGTTTGTTTTTTATGCTTGAGTATAAAAATGAACTGTTTTTCTATATATCTATATATATATATAGATCTTGTTATTGTTTTTCACTGATTTTGTCACAAGTAATTCAACTAAATTGCAATTAAATGTAGCTGAGAAAATTTAGCTTTAGATCCAATTACAAAAATGTTTCCAGCTAAATCTGAACTGATTTTCGAAATGCAATTAAATCGCAATATATTTATATATATGGCCTATTAATCTTAGGTAAAAGTTCGCTTATTAATTAAATTATAATTTTTGCTTCTAATTATATTGCAAATCGACCTGATATATTTATAAGAACATATGTTGGATTAAATAATTGCCGCATGGAAAAATCAGAAAACATTTAGATAGATATATATATATATATATATTATTGATCAATATGACAAGCTGATTCGCTTTAGCCAGGGTAATATTCACACTTTTTTGAATATTCACACTTTTTAAGCCCTTAAAATAACAAAAAGATCAGTCTATTAATATCGAAGTTAATGGTGAATTTCCTATATTGAGTGCAGGGTATCTTGCAGGAGCACTCCCGTTTTGAAGTGCATAATAACTCGCGCCTCGCATATTAGGCCCGCGCACCTCTTCAACTCGCAGCGATCGGGTATATTCGTTCCAGTTCTTAAAGTGTTTCATTATGTCATAATTGAATGAGTTTATTATAGCAAATGCGACCCGAATTTTGGACATGTGCCTGGCAAGTACATATGCATAAATAGTGTTTACCCGGACGAAGATATACAAATATATAGATATATATATATATATATGTATGTTATATGTACACATGTCATGCAAAAGTTTACGATTGCGGCAGTATAAATATTTAATTTTATGCGCGTTAAATTTTGGTGCCAAAAGTGAATTTTCGATGTGAACTGGAAAACTGCAGTCAAGTGGCGTCAGCTTGTGAAATTCGCAAATAATTTGCTTTATTTAAAGAAAGTGAATTATTTTCACATGTTTTCACTTGTATGTTTAATAGTGTTCTATATATATTTCATTGTCCGAATTAAATGGAAAAATCAATGCATATGCGGGCACGTAGGCATAATAAGTTTCCATTATAAGGGATTGCCGTCATATCCATACCTATGCCCATGGAACTGTTGCTATTTTTATGCATTCCCAGCCTAGGCTGCATTATCGCTTAGCTCCCCTCGACCCGCTCCCCTGCACCCCCGCCCGAATCGTATGTCGATATCAGAGAATTGAATCGAACGGAATAACAGAACGGAACAGAAATACAATTGTTGATACTGTCCCCCAGACAGGCTACACACAAAATGTGTCTATACAATTACGAGTAATAGTACTTTTCATCGGTGCTCTTTTATTTTATTTTATTTATTTTTTTATCAATACGTTTAAGTCTGGGGGTACATTGACGTTGCTATTATCTATAAACCGAGAAAGTAAACAAGCAGGCAAATTATCTATGCTTCGATTAGGCGACATTATATACACTATGCACAGTGGGACTAGTTCGCTGATAACTGGCATCAATTTAATTAAGTGTATTATTTATTATTACTATTATAATTATCATTAATATTATTACAAGTGTTGGATATCGCTGCCAGCTTTCAGCTTAGCCTTCGGCTAAGACAATACTATATATATATTTATCCTCGTTATTCAGTAATTTACTATATAGTTACGATGCAATAAGTCATAAATATGTATATGGCTCATTATCTTACACACTTTCAATTATATTCTGTTAAGTCGTTTCGTTTTATATGCTTCGTTATCTATAGCTAATCTTCAAGTACCTTCATAGCTAATTTCACAACAAGCACCTGATTGTTTCTTGAAATACTTGAGAGAGTATTACTTTCTGATCGCATCGTTATTCCACTTTTCGATCTATAATAATTGAACAAACATCTCGAATAATGACGTGATTTGATCCACTTGAGATCAAAATGAAAGATCATATTTCATGGAGCATACGACTCCATTCCATCCCATTTCCTCGCCAGCACTTTTTCCCGCTCTTCAGGCGATATCTGGCCACGTCGTGGGCAATAAAACAATTTCGATTTTTGTCGATGTTTGTCAGTTATTGAAACAGCTCAAAGATAAGGCCCATGGGCCTAAGGAGGTTTTAATGTACATTTAAACACCGGTAAATTGGTATTTTTAGAGCACTTGTCATAAAATCCTATCGCAACGTTTCGATTGGAACGCATAAATCATTGGTCGACTGAAGCATTGAAGTGTGGAAATCGTAATATAATGGCCCATATATGAGAGACGCTATAAATTGGAGCGAAAGCACTTAAATTCCCAGCATAATATTCGATATCCTTTTATTTAACATTTAAGAATGATTCGATTGAATGAAATAGTGAAATCCATTTCTCTCTTTCCAAAATCTGTGAAACTTGTCTCCTCTAAAAACTGTGAAAGATCTCTGAAAGTGAGTTTGAATCCGATCGAACGGTAAACAAGCAAATACTTTACGATCGTTTCCCAGCGCTTTCTTAGCATAGAAATTCATCTTTTACTGGTTCAATCGATTTCAAAATTTACCTTATGATAGGCCTAGTAAAATATTACCTTAAACTTTTTTGC